AAAAAAAAAAAAAAAAATCTGCACCATAAAGGAAATATTCAACAAAACTAAAAGCCAACCAACTGAATGGGAGAAGATATTTGCAAATAACATATCTGATAAAGGTTTAGTATCCAAAATATCTAAAGAACTTTTACAACTCAACACCAAAAAAAATCCAATTTTAAAATGGCAGAAGACATGAACAGACATTTCTCCAAAGAAGATACACAGTTGGTCAATTGACACGTGAAGATGCTCACATCACTAATCATCTTGGAAATGCAATTAAAACCATGGTGAAATATCCCCTCATACCAGTCAGAATGGCTAAAAAACAAACAAAAACAAAAAACAAGAAACAAGTGTTTGCAAGGATGTGGAGAAAAAGGAACCCTCTTGTACTGTTGATGGGAATGCAAACTGGTATAGCCACTGTAGAGGACAGTATGGAGGTTCCTCAAAAAAATAAAAAAAAAATTACCATATGATCCAGTAATTCCACTACTGAGAATTTACCCAAAGGATATGAAAGCACTCATTTGAAAAGATATATGCACCCCTATGTTTATTGCAGCCTTATTTACAATAACCAAATTATGGAAGCAGCCCAAGTGTCCATCGATAGATGAATAAAGAAGATATGGTGTATATCCACAATGGAATATTACCCAGCCATAAAAAAGAATGAAATTTTGCAACAACATGGATGGTCTAGAGGGGATAATGCTAAGTGATATATGTCAGCCAGAGAAAGACCAACACCATATGTTACATTAGAACAGAACAAATGAACAAAGAAAAAAAGAAGTAAATGGATTTCTAAATATAGATAACTGATGGTTACCAGTTGGGAGGTTAGTGAGCAAATGGGTGAAATAGGTGAAGGGGATTGAGAGTACATGACGTGATGAGCACTGAGTAATGTATAGGATTGTTGAATTACTATATTGTACACCTGAAACTAATGTAATACTATATTAATTATGGTGGAATTTTTTTAAAAAGGTAAAATGATCTTTGTAAGCCTCAAATGTTTACAGTCAAAAAAATGAAAAAAAAAGAAGTGAAATAACACCTCCAAATGTTTCTGTGTTGTGTAGGAAAATTCTGTACAGGTTTTGGTATAACATTTCATATCACCTAATGGGGATAAAGGAATGGTGGAGTGCATTTGAAGAGAACAAGAAAATATCTTATTTTCCCATTACATAATTGTACTATAATTTTTAAACCAGTACCCTCTGTGATAAACATTTAGTTTGTTTCACTGTGTTTTCCTATACGAGCAGTGCTATAATCAACATATTTTACATATATCCTGGTCATGCTTCTGACAGTAAATTCCTAGCAGTACAGCACTGGAAATAGGATATGTGCATTTTAATTTTGCTAGATACTACCAAATTGCCCCCACAAAAAGATTGTTCTAATTCATATTCCTGTCAACCGTGTAGAATAGTGATGATAATATTTCATTTTCAGATAAAGTAATATTTCTGTGTCACCTGATAGAAGGGATCATTTGTTTTCTAGATCTTTAAGAAAATATGCAACTCCTTTTTATTTTTCCTAGGTCCAAAGGTCAGCCTGCTTCAAGTCAATTCTACCTGAGGGAATTGAAAGAGGCAGGGAAATAGTGTGTTTAATAGTTACTAGTTTGTGACTCTCTCCCCTAGCTTCTCCAGGCTCTGAGGGAAAGAAGCTTAATTATTTAAGTGACTTATCTCAGTTTCTTACACCTACAGTAGCTGTAGGTGTATTCTCATTTTTCAATTATAGAAATTAGTGCTTAGAGACATTATATGACTTACAGATTTGAACAATGGTCTGTGTGACTCCAAAGTACCCATTCTTTCAACCATAGTACTGTGAAGGGTAAGTTGCTGTGTGATTTATCCTATGTAAACTCACTGATACCTGCATAGCACAGAATCCACAGTACTTCTTACTGTCCTTCACTAGCTGTAGGATTTGGGGTAAATTACCTAATCTCTCTGTGTCTCAGCTTCCTCATCTGTAAATGGGGATATTAATAATACTCTCTTTTAGGGTTGTGCAGTGGTTTAAATCAATATATGCCAACTGTTTAAAACAATGCCTGGCATCTAAGGGAAATGGGATGCTTAATGTACTAATTCTTAATAATAAATATTCTTAAGATATGGAGCTGGGACCGCCTTATATAGCCATGGGCTTAGAAACTCATCGTCACTCAACAGGTATCCCCCATATTAGGAACAAAAGTTCAGAGAGAAGTATGAGACAAGTGCTCTACCTCTAAGTCATTTACAATCTAGTTAAAAGACAAAATGGAACTCACATCAAGTGCTTCAGTGCTGCATGATTTGTATAAACTCAAGTGTGGCAATGGTAAACGTGGCTGGCAGTCAGAGGAGACTTATGGAGGAGCTGGGACCTGAGTTGGGCTTTGAAGAAAGGGTTGGATTTGGAGCACAGATATTCCAGATAAGCGAAGCTGAGGAGGAAGGGAATAGAGGCAAGCCTGGTGGGGAGGGATATGGTGAGACTGAACTGGAGGGTGGGTACAGAGGGGCAGCAATAATAAACTTTGGATCTTGGAGCATCTGGGTAGCTCAGTCGGTTAAGCGTCTGACTCTTGATTTCGGCCCATGTCATGATCTTGCCATTTGCGAGATCAAGCCCTGCATCAGGCTCCATGTGCTGTCAGTGCAGAGCCTGCATGGGATTCTCTCTCTCATTCTCTCTCTGCCCTTCCCCCACTCATGCTGTGTTCTCTCTCTCTCAAAATAAATAAACTTTAAATAAATAAACTTTGGGTCAGGTTACCTATAGAAGGTATACTTCTAAAACAGCAGTTAATTTTCACTTAATCCAATCAGCCTTAAGTAAGGGAATATGTGGTTTACAAAATTGTCATTTCTGTCACTGCCTTCTTGAAAGTCTCTGGGAATGATTTTGTTCAGATTTTCTGAGTAAAAATTTTTGTCACTTTGGTACAGTGAGGAACGCACAGCAGAAGCATATCCTTGCAGCCCATCAGATCATCCACAGACACACAGAAGCCATGCTCAAAAAGAATTTTGTTGAGCAACAGCAAGACGAGGTCTCAGACACTGACCAGTTACTAGAGGAAGAAACTCAAAATGAGAAAAACAACTAAGGTGAGTTTGATTTTTCATCTGAAAGGAAGCAGAGAGGAGGAGAGGCAGCATCATTCAGCTTTCTGCTATACTCTAAAAACCGTAATGTGGAAAGATTGTCCTCTGTTTAAGAAAGTGAAACACTCCCATTTTAATTGGCCCATTCCATCTAGGTTATGGAATCTGCTATTGAAATTATTAGAGAATAGAGTTGATATTATAGCAACTGGACTCTTGTGACCAGAAAAGAGGATTCTGTTTTATTTTTTGAGTCCTCATAGTATATGATGGTATTCCATCATAAATAAGCTGTAAAATGTGTCTGTGTAAAAAAAAAAAAAAACCTTATGGAGTAGACAAACTACCTATCCTATCATGCTAGTTGTAAGCATAGCATTAGGCAGAGCCTACCCAATTCTAGCCCACCAGGAGTTGGTCTAGGCTCAACTAAGCATTCCTAGTCACAAGGCAATCGTTTGATACGATTTGAGTATCTATCTATCCAGAAAGATGCAAGACAGGAACCACAGCTTCAAGCAGGGCAGCATCCAGTATTTCTCTTCCTATGGAAGCTCTTGCCAAATCCACATAGAAGAACACTAGCTATTTTCTTTAGTCCCCTGCTTACAAAGCTCAGGTGCAAGAAAAAGAAATTCACATTCGGTAGGTGCAGGACCTGCCTGGTTTACATGCCTCAGGGGCCAGTATATCTTGTAACGATTCCATAGGCATAGTTTCTAGGGTCCACCTGATGGATTCATCTAGTCAAAGAAGTCAGCACACAAACCTGTGGTTTCCTATTAGGTATTAATAGTTCATTTATAATTCCTTCCAGTTAGATGCTAGTTACCAATCAGGGGTCAAGCAGTGTTACTTAGTAACATATTTGAGACAAACTGTCTTACCGAATTACTAGGAGAAGTGTTAGAGAGTCAGTTGAAAGTAAAATTCTCATGAGAATTTTTATAAGAAAGGAAGTGAACCCTTTGCCTATACCTTCTTCAACCCTCCTCTGATGGAAGCATGTCATCTGCTACTTTGGCCTGAGGGCATGCTGTCAGGATAGGGAAGGCACAAGGCTTAGGGGCACATTTGAGCCTGGCGTTCAGAAGGTTTGAGTGTTGGCCAGCTCTGCTACTAACATAATCTTATATAATAATTCCCTTCACTACAGGTTTGCCTGCACTTACGTGACCAACAGACCATCTGCAGGGCAATCTATTGGGACCTGAAGTTTCAACCAATGAGGATCATGGAAGGAATGTTGAGATGAGGGGGCAGTTAAGAATGAAAGCAGACAGAAAGCAGATAAAGGACTCTTAAATACCTAGCTATGGCTGTAAATTATAGCAGAAAACCTTTTGTTTTTAATAAATAATAACCTCTGAAATCACTGAAGATATAAACCATGTATTTACATGGAATGTTATCCATACATCTATATAATATAAATTCAAGGACCATAGCATTTTGCCTATCTTATTATTGTGATAAAATTACCCTTAATGTTTGGATAGTCATTTTTCTTACATGTAAATTTAATATTATTAATAATTTACATAATTTAAATTAAATATGTGTGCATTTACTTCTGAGTATAAAGGATCTCTTTACTGCTTTATTACACGTTTAGAACAAAGGGGCATGTGATGGCTCAGTCGGTTAAGTATTGGACTCTTGATTTCCGCTCAGGTCATGATCTCGCAGTTCGTGATTTCAAGCCCTGCATTAGGCTCGGCACTGACGGTGAGGAGCCCACTTGGGATTCTCTATCTGCCCCTCCTCCATTTGTGCTCAGTCTCTCTTTCTCTCTTTCCCTCCCCCCCTCTTTCTCTCTCAAAAACAAACTTAAAACAATGTTTGGAACATGATGTTTAGTTGCCCCCATAGTATGTATTACTCTCTCTCCCTTCTCTGTCAGAAGGAGGGAAGGACAGATGTGAGATTATTTAATAATGCTTAAGGATGTAGGCGTAGACTGTTGAGTTAAAAATATTTTTAATTAGCTTGAAAACAATGGAGACCTAATAGTGAGGAATTGCTGGGCAAATATCTAGGAGCAAAATTCAGAGAGTTGGTTCTGGCATTTAGAGCCACTTTTTTTTTCTCCCCTGAGGGAATGTGCAAATTCTAGAAAATTTGGCTGAAAAGCTGAGTGAATCTTTCCCCAGCTTTGTAAAACTAAGGGGACAAAAACTGGAGTCATACTGGAGGCCCTGGTAAGCCTCTTCCATTTAGGTTGGACTCTACAAGGCTGTGTGCCAGTAGTAAGGATTAATTGGAAATAACTGTCCCTCACAAAGACTATAGTTTAGCTTCCAGTCATCTGAATGCTCCAAAAAAATCTCAGTTGCAGAAATTGAATTAAAGAGATCATTGATTCCCGTTGCTTCAGAAAACTTGTCAGAAACAAAACTTAAATTCTCTTTGTAGAAAGATGGCATCATCCTAGACCTCTTTTCAAAAACAGGTTTTTATATACAATTTCCAGAGTATGATCAAGGATATCCAGGTACATGAGAACAAGCAGTAGCAGAAATTACAGGTAATAGAAGCAAACCTAAAGGGATCTAAACTATTGGAATTATTAGATTTAAAAATAACTATGCTTACTACTATGGACTTCTAGCCTCCAGAATTGTGAGAAAATAAATTTCTATTGTTTTAGCCACCCAGTCTATGTTGTTGTGGCAACCTGATCTAAGACAGATTTTGGTGCCAGGAGTGGAAAGCTGCTGTAACAAATAGTTCAACAATGTGGAAGCAGCTTTGAAACTAGAGAATGGCCAGAGGCAGGAGAGTTGTGCAGTATATACTAGAAATATGGATATTAAGGGCAATTCTGGTAAGGTGTCAGACAGAAATAGGGAACGTGTTACTGGAAACTAGATGGAACACAATCATTTATAAAGTGGCAAAGAACTTGGCTGAACTTTGTTGTAGTGTTTTGTGGGAGGTAGAACTTGTGAGCTATGAAATTGGATAGTTAGCTGAGAAGACTTCTAAACAAAGTATTGAAGGAGTGACTTGGTTACTCCTGACTGCTGATATAGTAAAATATTGAAGGGAGATGAAATGAAGAAGGAATTATTAAACAAAAAGGAATAAGAACTTGAAGGTTTGGAAAATTCTCAGTCTATCCATATTTCGAAGAAATGAGAAAGTGTATTCTGAAAAGAACATTAAGGGTGTGGTTGAACAGCTATTTGATAAAGAGCTTATAGGATTATAAGAGCAGGAATACTGCCAGTTTGAACTGAAGGAGATGGAGGCAGGATGAAATGAAGGAAGGCTGTCAGACCTCTTGGCTTTGACAGGATGAACCGATAGAGCTACTATGAGGCAAAAGTACACAATTCTTCAAACAGTTTCAACAGGTCAGATGGCCTTGATGTAGAACACTAAGAGTGGGACCACCGTGGGACCTGATCCAGGCAGAGGTGCAATGATAGGACCCTCACCAAGAGCCAGGACAATGGGACACAGCAGAACCAAAGCATTGGGCCATCCTCCTGATCCATGGGAGTAATGCTGCCATCCCCACAGACCTAGAAGGCAGGACATTGAGGCAGAGAGGATTAATTTCAAGCTTAAGAATCTGATAGGATTTGTCTAGCTAGGCTTTGGACTTATTTGGGACCCATTACTTCTTTCTTCTTTCTGATTTCTCCCTTTGGAATGAGAATATCTATTCTATATTTGTTCTGCCATTATATTTTAGAGGTACATGACTTATTCACAGCTGGAGAGGATTTTGCCTCAGGATGAACATACCTTGACTCTCACCCATACCCGATTTGTGATTTAGAGGATATTTAGATGAGATTTAGTTGATGCTCTAATGAGTTAAGACTTTGGGGGCTATTGGGATGGAATGAATGTATTTTGCATGTGAGAAGGACATGAATTGGGGGAGGGGAGGGCTGGGGTGGAGTGCTATGGACTTGTGTCCCTCCCAAATTCAGATGTTGAAGCTCTAACCTCCAATATGATGACATGTGTAGATAAGGACTGTTGGAGATAATTATGATTAGATGAGATCATGAGGGTGAGTCCCCCATGATGGGAATGATGCCCTAATAAGAAGAGACACCAGAGAGCTTGTTTTTTCTGTTTTTTGTTTTTTTCTTTTTTTCCGTGCCATATGAGGACATGGCAAGAAGGCAGTGATCTACAAACCAAGAAGAAAGTTGGCCCCAGAAACCGACCATGCTGACATCTTCATCTTGGACTCCTAGCCTGCAGAACTGTGAAAATAAATTTCTGTTGTTTAAGCTACCCATTCTATGGTATTTTGTTATGGCAGCCTGAACTAAGACATTATGTGTAAAGAGATAAAAATCAATATTGAAATTTTCAAGAGAACTGTAAATGATAAAAATGATAAAGCAGATTTGCAGAAAATAATTCTAGAATCTAAAAATACTGTAGTCAGCATGAGAAATTCAATGCATGGAATTAAGAGCAGGATAAATACAGCTAAAGTGAAAACCAGTAAATTAGAAAATAGATGAGAAGAACTTACTTAAGAAAGAATACAGGAACAAAGAGATGGAAACCACAGAAGAGATGCAAGGATTGATGTAGGATAACTTAATCCTTAGGAAGAGACAAAAAGATAGTAGACATACATCGACCACTGATTTTAGATATTTGAGTGCTAAGAAGAAATATGTTGGGAAATCTTATGAAATGTGAATTTTCTTTTTTTTTTTAAGTGTTTATTTTTGATAGTGAGAAGAGGAGGTGCCGAGAGAGACAGGGACAGGATCTGAAGCAGGCTCCACAGTGACAGCAGAGAGCCTGATGCAGGGTTTGAACTCACCATGAGATTATGACCTGAGTTGAAGTCAGATGCTTAACCAGCTTAGCCACGCAGGTGCCCCTGAAATGTGAATTTTCTAAAACCAGTGAAAGACTCAATATTTAGGAACCCTTCTTAACCCCAAACAGAAAAAAATTAAAAATCTATACCTAGATATATTTTAATATGACTGCTGAAAACAAAAGAAAAAATATC